CCCCCCCCCAAAAACCCCTTTAAGGGGGAGCCCCCCCCCCCCCCCCCCGGGCTACTGCCGTGCCGAACTCAAATTGATGGAAGTAAATTCGACTTTAGCACGGCAGTAGCGTGACGTTTGAAACCAAGTCGTGTTACTGCCGTGTAGCACGGCAAGCCTTGCCGTGCTACACGGCAGTAGCTCGACTTGGTTTCAAACGTCGTGCTACCGCCGTACCGAACTCAATTCATAAATTATAAATACATTAGAATACATTTAAAAGTTTGCTAAACTGTTTCTTTGTTTTTGTGTTTTGTTCATCAACAGCCGTTCTATTCGACTGAATTAAATTCGACGTCTGAAACCAAGTCGTGCTAGTGTCGTGCTGCAGTTGAGCTACAGTCGAGTCAGCTTAGCACGGCAGTAGCACGACGTTTGAAACAGGCTTAAGCAGTGGATACGTCACGCTCTTATACCACCTTACCCCACTATGTCGCAAGTGGGAATTATGCAACAAAATGGATGGAATTAATACAACAAACAGAATGAAAACTCAGAAATGTAAAAAAATTACAGCAAGAAAAACAACCCTACATAATGATCTAAACTATGCTCGTATAATAATGATTCAGTAAACATACAAAACGCGCTAAACCTTTCATATGGCAGCATGCAAAACACTACGTCTAAAAGAAACCCCTGGTCACTGGGTTTTTAATTTTGAGGGGGTAGGAACGGTCGTAAGACGGGAATGAATATAAATGAGAACAACTCAAATATATATAGCCTACCGCTAATGAAGCAATACAACAGCATACCATGTAACACCCCAAAGAAAAGGTTACATAACCCATGATAAATACATTTATTAGTACAGGTAATAGCATTGTAGTCTGATTTGTAGTGATATTTGGCATAAATACTGGGAGTGATGTTTCGAAATTGTTACACTTAATTTCACGAGCCGTTAGGCGAGTGAAATTTGAGACAATTTTGAAAGATCACGAGTGGTATTTATGCCAAATATCACGTACAGATCATGCTATTATTTGTTTATACTACTACCCGCAAAAGGTTTGTAATTTTCACTTGTAGGTGTTTCAAATAAAGCTGAAATACCTTTGTTCTAAGCCAATCAAATTGCAGAAATTTCTCACGTAGTAGTATAAAAGATCAAATATTAGGATCTTCTTAACAAGGTAAGCCTTGCCGCTTAAGTTTCTCTCAGCTTAACTTTAACTCTAAAAAGTGACGTTTTTCAATGGTTCAAACCTATAACATAGCGCTGTTTATAGTACTATAGTATTTAGGGCGGATTTAGGGGCGTTTCTCCCCGGGGGGGGGGACTCCCTTATAAGGGCTTAATGGGGACGTACGGCCAGCCAGGGTATGTTTTTCGGGATTTTTGTCTTAAACAGGGTATCGAATTTATTACTTTTTGTCTTAATCAGGGTATCGATTTATCAATTTTTGTCTTAAACAGGATAAATGTAAAATAAATAAATGTAATGGGCGTTTCTCCTTCTTCTGTGAGAGTTTAGAATTGATTTTTAAGAATTCTCATTAAAAGAAATGGTAATTTTATAGCTTGCAGGTGCCCCGCATCCTCTTTCTGAATTTTATGACCAATGGGTGCGCTCCTGAATCTGTTAAATAAAATTTTTGCCTCTTTTTGTGCTATCAATGCCAACAGATTCTTTGTTTATTTTTTCATTCATAATTTCTTTTCTTTGTACTTTGCAATCATATCTGTCTTATGGCAATAAGGAGCGCTGATAGAGGCAGAGCTAGGGGCCATCAAGTCTTTATAGGTGGTCTGTGTTTTTTTCAAAATCATTGAAAAAGTTTCATACAAAAAATGATTGCACAAATGAATAAATACTATGACTAGGCTTAAGATTGTTATTTAAAGGTATGGATCCTTGAACGGATACGGGGACTAGGTAGATTAGAACAAGGACGCAAGTTTTTCTGTAAGGTCCAAGCAACGTAAAGGAAGTGAAATTTCGTGATACATGACGATGCAGGAGCGATTGGTAATCTGGCTCCTGACGATGCAAATCAAAATTCTCAAAGTGACGTCATCGGTGGAACCACGTGACTTACGTCACGAACTAAAAAGAGCACAACAGCTGGAAGACTCCATAAAAAACGGGTCTATCCGTCTTCCTCAAAACTAGTATCTTTTAAACGCCAAATTTTCTGATTTGACAAAGACGCCATGGCGGCAAATCCAGGTTATTCAACAGGTAAAGAACAGCCGTACCCAACACAGCAACCGATGACACAGTATCCACCATCGCAGTTCGGCGGCTATCCTCCTCCGTCGAATCAAAACGCTTATCCACCGCCTGTTGAAACGGTACCAGCGTTAAATCCTGCCTTCCCTCCACCGCCGGCGTACGATGCTGCCGTGGGGAAGCCTGCAGGAGCGGTGCCTAGTCCATACGGTCCAAATTATCCTTACGGACCGCAGTATCAATCGCAACCTACGCCTCCTAGCTACACCACAAGTTCTGATGTCGAATACCAAGGAGCAGCGTTCCATGATCGGATCATTAGCTTCGACGACAAAACTATCAGGCTTGGTAGGTTGTTTTCATGCAGGTTGTCTTGATCTATCGGATTTACAAGTTATTGAATTTTTTAGATCTTATGGTTTCTTTTTCTGACTATTTCGTTATCATACGGTCGTGTTTTTAATTGGTTTGCATGCAAAATAAGCTTTTTATGTAGTCCTCCTGTCAAGGATAAAGTCTATGAAACTTAAATATGTATGTTAAGGCGTGAGATAAAATAAAAATGAACTTGAATTCGGTAATGCAGTAAGCCGACCTTTTATAACGTTAGAAATCAGCTGAATATTACCATATTTTCCAGCCGGATATTTTTCCTTTGTTTTTCTTGGTCATTATAATAATTTGTTATTATTGGATGACAGTTATTGATAATATCAAGAATTATGCAGATCAACTAGAGGGGGAGTTCCCATGAGATCAGCACCCTCCTCGATCTGTGTTATTCTTCATATCATTAAACAAAACCCATATTTGTTTTACTATTCATTCATATTATTTCCAACCTTAACAAAAAATGCCAACCTTGGT